GGGAATATATATTTATTTTTTGTATAGAAAGGTGTTTAGGTTGCATGCCCTTAATTCTCTAGGACCATTTGCTCCATCACCATCATCACCACCATCAGCACCACATTCTCAAATGATTTCTCCCCTAACTATTGAATAGGACCAAAATTGGGTCATCATTGGGCTTTATAGGGCTTTGCACTACTCATTAAACAAACAAGCACAACTTGAAACGAAGTTCAACAAGTTGCTGTCTTGCCTGAAAAGAAAAAAATAGTTATTTACCCAAACCAAGCAATATCATGCATCATCTTAGGAACATCCCGAAAACATGATAATGCTTAGTTGAATAAACACAATGCATGCATATTCAACGCCATCATCTCATATCATGCATTTTTGTCGTAGATCATGGAGGGAGCTAGGGGAGTGCAAGGGCAATTGAAGAAAGTGGACTTCTTATTGTACCGTGCCGAGAGGTTGGATCACCTCTGTTCTTTGATGCCACGTGAGGCTCGTGCCGAGTTCGAGAAATTATATGGACGAATCCTCGATTTGATGAAGATATGTGTGGATCCAGCTTTTCTAAGAGCATTGGTTCACTTCTGGAGTCTCGATCTGCATTGCTTCGAGTTCCCCCAGTTTGACTTAGTTCCTACTCTCGAGGAGTACGAGCTCATGCTACGATGGCCCAAATCAACAGGGGTCTACGTTTTTCATGGTAATTATGTGGCCGTGGAGAGGGTCGCTACTCAAGTCAAACTACCATCACGATCATCTGCCTTAGTGGGGAACGGCAGTATCAAAGGTTGGAAGCTCGCTATGATTGAGGATCACCTTTCTTCCTTAGCTGGTGAGGGAGATTGGTTAGCTTTCAACAAGACTCTAGCGTTAGCCGTGTTTGGGACGATCCTATTCCCCTTTCACGCTAACACAGTGGACCATGCTGCTATGGACGCTTTCTTCGCTTGGGACGTGCACATGAAGAGTCCCGTGCCTGCCATTCTTGCCGACACCTTGCTTTCTGTCAACCTATCTCAGCAGAAGCAAGGGAAGACTATCCGATGCTGCACCTCCTTGTTATATGTGTGGGGCATCACACACTTCTACGCCTCTAGTCACATGGGGACCTTGCCCGATCCGTTGAGGAACTTTTCGAAGATCCCCGTAAGCCGCCGTTATGCTTCCGAATGGAAGCAAGTGATGGAACAGTGGAGCATTGAGCACTTCACATGGGTTTGCCCTTGGTTCCATCCGAGCAATGTATTGATGAGATGCGGCAGTTATCCAAGCATACCATTGATGGGCCTCAGAGGTTGCATAGCTTATTCACCTAGATTGGCTATGAGGCAACTCACGAGGACTCAGATTGTTCCTACTAAAGAGGAGCTTGGAGGATTGTGTTTCTCCTTTGATTCCGAGCATCAAAGGGACATGCATGCTGTCATTAGAGTGTGGGAGAGACCAATCTATGAGGGAGATCGAGAGCTTGGAAAGCCTCGGGTATCCGTCTCCACCGACTACGAGACGTGGAGGAGCGAGAGGGGAGTGCCCCAACCATCCACCTCTTGCGCAACCGCAGTCTGCAAGAACAAGTCGATGCCTTGACCAAGAAGCTGGAAATCATGGGAGCTCAGATGAGAGTTCTTGAGGAGAAAAATGAAGAATCCAGTTTCGCCATTGATGGTCTACAAAGGCAATGCAAGAAAAAAGACCACGAGATAGAGCGGCTCAAGGATGAGTGTGCTAACCTTAATGAGAAGGCTACTCGGGCATCCAAAATGCCAAAGGTTGAACCGAGTAGTCAACTCCGAGATGTTGACGCAAAAATAGCACACCTTGAAGCTGAGTATGCTAAGCAGGCACAGTTGATCAAGGACATGCAAGACGATATGCTCTTGACTCGATCCGATGCGCAGCAATGGCGGGAAGTTGCTCAACAACAAACCGCAAGCCTTTCCGACTTTCGCAAGAAGGAGAGGGAGGGATTAGCACATATGGCTAAACTCCGAGAAGAGAAGGATCGAGCCGAAGACGAGCTTAATGAGCTGCAAGCCATGATCAACTACCATATTCAGAAAGCGAAGGACGCTCAGAAGAATAGTGATGATATGAGCCAAGCAGTCCATACGCAAGTCGAAGCAATGGCCCGCCATGTAGAAGAAGCCGAAGATGAATGGAGTAGAAACATGAACCCGCCTGTGGGTTTTTATCGGCTTTTCTCAAGAGCCCTGCTTCCTCTGACACTTCAGAATAGAATCAGATAACAAATACTTCTTTGACATAATTGAGACCCAGAACTTGTCATGACCTTGAAGCAGGTCCCACACCAACTTCCCTAACAAGGACACATTTTTGAATCTAGAAATTCTGGTATTCAATCCTCCTTCTCTTCGACGTCTAGTAATTTTTGTCCAGGCGACCAAATTAATACCCTTCCCAGAGGATCCCTTCCAAATGAAATCACGGCTCATTTGATCAAGTGTAGAACAAATATAATTAGGGAACCAATACAACTGCATGAAAAAAGTGGGTATAGAAGAAATGACAGCATTTGCCAAAGTGACTCTACCTGGCTTGGATAGTAATTTTCCTTTCCAAGTAGCTAACTTGGCACTAATCCTATCCATAACTGGTTGGAAAACTTCCCTCCTGGGCCTCCCATAAAAAATGGGGAAACCAAGATATTTTCCTAAAGTAGTGAACCGGATGTTAGATATTCCTTGAATTCTAGCTTTCTTGGCCGAAGTAATTGTCTTAGAAGCAAAAGCCCTTGATTTTTCAACGTTAATTTTCAAACCAGATTTAGTACAAAATTCATCAATAATAATCTGCATCAATCTAACTTGAGAATTACGAGCCTTGATAAAAAGAAGACAATCATCCGCGAAAAACAAATGGGATATGGAGGGACCTTCTTTTGAAATCTTAATAGGCTGCCAACGATGATCAAACACTGCCTGATTAATTAACAGGCCTAATTTTTCCATGCACAACACAAACAAATAAGGGGATAAAGGGTCCCCTTGTCGAAGACCTCTTCTAGGGATAATAGCCGCTGACTTAACTCCATTCCAAAGAAGATGCAAAGATGATGATGAAACACAATTCATAATTAACCTGCAAGTGATATCTGGAAAACCAAAATCAAGTAGGACATTATTTAAAAACTCCCAATCAATGCGATCGTAAGCCTTCTCAAGGTCCAGCTTAAAAATAAGGTCCCCTTTCTTCCTTTTAGACTTGTTCATAAAATGAAGCACTTCCTGTAGAATAATTGCATTATCGACTGTACTTCTCCCCGGAATAAAGCTGCTTTGGAGAGGGCTCATGATATTTCCTATAAAAACACGCAGTCTATTCACCAGCACTTTCGTGATTAGTTTGTAAACAACATTGCACAAGCTAATGGGTCGAAAATCCTTGTATGACAGAGGAGCATCCACTTTAGGAATCAAAACAATTAAAGTTTCTGCCAATTTAGTATCAATAATACCTGTTTGGAATGCCTCATTGATCAAATTCCATACATCATCACCTACAACGTGCCAATACAATTTGAAGAAAATTGGTTGAAATCCATCTGGCCCAGGCGCCTTGAAAGATTTCATACCCGTAAGAGCTTTGAATACCTCCTCCTTTGTCACCGGAGCTACAAGAAGATTTTTATTATCATCTGAAAGAGTAGGCATGTTCGGAGTAATAATGGACTCCCCTGTAGCTTCCCTCATGCAGAAAATATTTTTAAAATACAAGGAGGCCTCATGTTCCAACACATTATTATCAGAGCACCATTCCCCATTAGGAAGGAAAAGTCCACTCACATGGTTTCTGCGTCTTCGAATGACAGTTTGAGTATGGAAGAAAGTTGTGTTCTTGTTGCCAAACTTTATCCATTGTTCCCTAGACTTTTGGAACCAATGAATTTTCTCTTGTAGCAATATAGAGTTATACTCTTGTAATAGTTCCCCTTGCAGACGGATAAGACTAGCAGAATCCACATTCTCCAATGCTTTTTGGACCCCCTTCATTTTAGCTTCCAAGGACTTTTTTCTTCTAAAAATATTACAAAACACTTCTCTGTTGAACTTGATAGATTCCTCTCGAGTGGCTTGAAGAGCATTTAAAACATTTCCTCCCTCACCACACCAAGCAAGCTTCACAATGTCACTGAAACCTTCATGAGTAGCCCATGCCGCCTCAAAGCGAAAAGGTCGAACACCACGTCTACGTTGGACGAGACCGCAACGCAGAAGAATGGGATTATGATCAGAATGGAATCGGGTTAACACCTCCAAAGTTGCTTCTGGGAAAAGAACTCTCCAACTTTGATTTCCCAAAGCCCTATCCAACCGTCTAGAAATCAGTCTTCCCCCCATAGAAGGACGTTGCCAAGTATACTTGTTGCCAAAATAACCAAGATCTAAAAGATCACAATTATCCAACATGGTTTGAAATTCTGAAGCACGAGCATTTGAGAAATTACCACCACGTTGTTCATGCCCAAATAAAATATCATTAAAATTACCTAAGAGAACCCAAGGTAATTGAAATAAACTCCTCATCTGTGACAGATGGGTCCAAAGAATACGTCTTTGAGCAATACATGGACTCCCATATACACCAGAGCAAATAAAACTTTGATCTCCTTTTGAAATAAGAAGTGAAATAACTTGTGGGCCAGAATCAAGAAGCTGAATACTATAATTACAATTAGCTTGGACTAAGGCCCAAATACCTCCAGCATGACCATGAGCCTCTTCTACTGCAACTGTCTCATACCTTTCATTTCTCCAAAAAGAAGCCAAGTTTGCAAAAGTGGTATGAGTTTCAAAAAGAAATAATAATGTAGGATGCAAAGAACTCAACAAATTTCGAAGGTGCCGCTGACAACGTTTGTTAGCTGCTCCACGTACATTCCAAGCCAAGATCTTAATGTCTGACAGTAACATAGATAAAATAAGTTAAAAAATAAAAGGAACCACATAGGATATACCCCTTAAATTCTCATTCCAGGAGTCTCCACTACCATCTCTACCTCCTCCTCAACATCATGTGGTGATCCATTAATCATGACTCCCTTGTCCTTTCCTTCCACACACCCCAAGGAAAAGTGTGTGTCAGGGGGGTCAGGCTCATCTACAAATCTGAAATGATTTGGACCTGCCACCTCAATATTCATAGTTGTGAAGATACCGTGATCATGTGATTTGACTATGGGGACATTAGTGTCATTTCCTTTTGGCATGGGCATGTGATCTCCACTTTCTAGGGGCGGCTTATGTGACACGTAATTAGACTCTACACGATCCACCACTATTTGAATATTACTGTCAAAATTATTCTTAGGCAAAGGAGACAACCTGTCTTTGCGTTGACGCTTCTTCCTAGTCCACACTTTGGCAGTGTCAGCATTAAATACAAAATCTGGTTCCCCCACAATACTTTGCTCATGATTGGATTCTATTGATTTTTCTCCCATAATACCATTCAAAACATCATATTTATTTTTGGATGCAATCAATTTATTCTCTTTCCTCCCTTGTTGTTGCTGCAATCATTCTAGCAATCCACATTTTTAAACAAATAAACGAGTCCAACCATCATTCGCGAATGCCGAAAGCCCGTTTCGGGCCGGTGGCGACAAGCACTCATATTTTCTAAAATTTATCTTAAAAGTGATTATCACCAAATAAGGCCATATTCCACTCAATACGCCCGTATTGAAACTAGGGTTATGGACAACCCTTCAGTTCAATACGGGCGTACTGAACTGAATACGCCCGTATTGACCCCAACAGTCACACCAATACGGGCGTATTGAATTCAATACGGCCCGTATTGGCCTCCAATTTTGTACACTAACGGCAAAGTCAGTACGGCCATATTGAATTCAATACGGGCCGTACTGACGTAAATTTTTCTATAAATAGGCCCCTTCCCCTCTCATTTCAGCATCCTCCAAGCAATGGAGTGGGAGGACGAGGTCCGGGGCTACATCGCCGCCATAGGATGGGGTTTCCTCCTTGAACCCCACCCTAAAATTTTCCCGACCGCGACGAAGGAATTTTTGGCTACCGTCGGCGTCACAGAGTCGACGAACAGCTTTGGAGCGACGGTCTACTCGGTAGACTTCTGGATGAACGGAGGATACCGCTCCTTGTCGTTGGACGAGTTCAACGTCCAAGCCGGCTTCTTTCCGCGAGCCGATCAGCTGGAGTATCGGGACGCCATCTGCGAGTACCCTGATAGTCTGACCCAGTCTGAGATGTGGAGAGAGATCACGGGTCAGACGGATTACCATGCTGGAGTGAAGGGTACTCGGCTCCCGACTGCGCTCCGAATCTGCCACAAGCTGATCACCGGCTCCATTCATGCCAGACCGAGGAGCCCAGAGTCGGTGACGCGGCAGGATCTGCTGGCTCTCTACTGCATGGCCACCGGATAGAAGGCCAACCCCGGATTCTTCTTCCTCGAGCATATAAAGTGAAATGAAACATACTAATGAAGTCATTGAAGTTGAAGGTATTTTAGGACTACAAGATGTACAAGGTGATCTTGAAGAAGTTGATGAGCCTGAAGAACCCCTACAACATGTTGAAGTACAA